TGTGTTGGTTCTTCCCAGTTCAAGCTGAGAGAAGTAGGGTGGAAACTCCTACCATGGCCAAAGGTAGCCTCTTTCCTGGGGTTCTTTAAATACTGAGGCCCTGGCCAAGAGCAAAGAAGAGGGATAGGCTACTTTTTTCAATGTCTTCTTTACCATCTTTTGTTTCATCCCAACCCTGTGTAGCCTGTCCGGCTTGCCCCTGAACGAGAATTCATCAAGTCTTTGATGGCAATTGGCAAACGGCTGGCCACCCTCCCCACTAAGGAACAGAAAACACAAAGGCTGATCTCAGAGCTCTCCCTACTCAACCATAAACTCCCTGCCCGAGTCTGGCTGCCCACTGCTGGCTTTGACCACCACGTGGTCCGTGTGCCCCACACACAAGCTGTTGTCCTCAATTCCAAGGACAAGGTAAGTGGGCTCTGGCCCAGTCCCTTCCCTTTATCTGACTGCATTCCCATGATTACTCAGGCTCTGTTCTGTACGGGCATGCTAGAGGCCGTCTAGTTTATGTATGGCACATGTGTTAACCCTTACTCTGCCTCCTCATTGCTCTTATGATGCTCAGAACCTGAGAAGCCTCCTGCCTGACATTTTTGGGTTTTGCTTTTATGGACCAAAGGAGCCTAATAATTTCAGTTTACCTCATGCCATACTTAAGGAGAGTGACTTTCCACCCACTACTTACCCTCCTTTGAGTAGCTCTTATAGCCTTCCTCTGACTTTCAGACTATCCGGGTACAACCACCATGTGAGTAAAGGAACATTTTTATTAAGACTTTTTTTGATCAAAGTGGGCAGAAAGGAAAGAAATATGCCCAATACATACTACAGAAAAGAAATTGTTTGTATGTTTATAGGAATGATAGTCCTCATGGTTCAGATTTTCCTCTCAGGAAATATTGGGAATTAGAATTCTCCTTGGGACACGTCTCGCTTTATCCAGTTTGTGTCTATGTCCCTGGGCCCTGACTTTAGCATAAGCCCAAAGACCTTCAACTGCCATTGATAGTTGGCATAGTTTTTCCCAATTGCACATGTGCATTTGAAGCCCTGATGATAAGCTTGGAAGCCTTTACCCCTTTTCCCCAAATGTTTTATGCAGGCGATAGCACAAGTTCCTACTTATGCATGTTGCTCACGATCATAAGGGACTGCTGTTGAGGGAACAAAAAGAACCATGTCAGTGGAACTTAGAGGGGAGGTGGTAGAAAATGCTGTCTGTCTTCCCCATCCACCCACCCAGGCTCCCTACCTGATCTACGTGGAAGTTCTTGAATGTGAAAACTTCGACACAACTAGTGTTCCTGCCCGGATTCCTGAGAACCGAATTCGGAGCACACGGTCCGTAGAGAACCTGCCTGAATGTGGTATCACTCATGAGCAGCGGGCTGGCAGCTTCAGCACGGTGCCCAATTATGACAATGATGATGAAGCCTGGTCGGTGGATGACATAGGCGAGCTACAGGTGGAGGTGAGGGAACACCAAGGAGACTATCCTGGGGCACAGCACCTATTGCTAGGAGCTTTTAATATTTGGAATAACACAGCTATTAGCAGAAGGCAGCAAGCACCCAGATAAATGTTGTAGGTAGTGAGGGTTATGAGTAATAAAAGCTCTGAACAGCTGCTTGGAATAGGCTCAAGCTTGTTCTCCTGCAGCAGGAACGCAGATGTAAGGAGGAATATCTAGACTAGGGGAGAAGAGAAATGTAATAAAATATATATGGAACACCTGTGACATAAAGGTCATTTAGGGATACATGCAGCCATACATGCATTCAATCAAATATATAAAGGGAGCTGGGCAGTGGTGGTATACACTTTTAATCCCAGTACTCAGGAGGCAGAGGCAGATGGATCTCTATGAGTTCAAGGCCAGCCTGGTCTACAGAGTGAGTTCCAGGACAGCCAGGACTATTACACAGAGAGACCCCGACTTGAAAAACCAAAAAATAAGTTATATATATATAAAGGGACTGGAGACATGGCTCACAGTAAGAGCACTGGCTGCCCTTGTAGAGAATTAGGTTCAGTTCCCCAGCACCTGTCTGTAGCTCCAGTTTTAGAGAAACTTGCTGCCCTCTTCTGGTCTCTTCAGACACTGTATATACATGGTGTGCATACAGGCAAACACTCAGATACATAAAATAAATATCATAAAAAGAAGGAAATATTAATGTCTATGTGACTCACAGCTATAATCCCAGCACCTAAAAGGTTGAAGCAGGATTTGGGGTTCAAGGCCAACCTCAGCTATTTAGAGAATTTGAGGTCAGTCTGTACCTTTCTTGAAAAACTAAAAAAAAAGTTTATGGAGGGCTTTCTGTGAGCTACACCTGAGTACTGTATGCTGGTGAATAAGACTTGGCTTATACTGCAAGGAATTTATGACCTAACAGAGAATCAGACCAGACAGCTGGTAGTTGTAGTATGGTGTGATCTACATTGTGGAGCATGAGATATTATGGAAGTACCCAAAGTTGGTATTTACTCCAGACTTGGGGTGGGAGTCAAAAGATTTCCTGTAGGAAGTAATCTTTCAGCCAAGGCCTGAAGCATGGTTGGAATTAGCAGAACAAAGCACATTCAGACAGAGGAATGTGTACAAAGACTGGAAGAGAAAATGGAACATGGCCTGTGGTAGGAACTGAAAGAAACTTTTATGCATTGAACTTATAGTGTGAGGTGAGGAGCAGTGCCGAATGAGGCGAGAGAGGGTGGCACGACCTGACAAGCCATGCTCTCATTCAGTTCTGTTAGCTGTGGGGAAAAAAATGCAAGCTTTATTCTGGGGCTATAGGAAGGCAAGCAGGGCAGGATTTTATGTAGCAGCATTTGGTGAAAAAGACAGATCTCTATCTTATTTACAGCCAAGTTGAGGCTAGACATAGCTATTTAAGAAGAAAATTGAAGGTGCACAGGTTGGTGTGCATTAGATGGAGCTGAGTTGGCTTTGCTACAAGGAAGTTCAGGAGACCTCTGGAGGCCTGGCAGAGTGTGTTGTAGTAACATGTGAGGAGGTTAGAGTGGATTAAACTCAAGAGATGAAGCTGCATGCGGTAGTCCCAGCACTGAAATGGAAGCAGGAAGTTACATAGTAAGCTTGAGGCCAGGCTGAGATACATGAGTCCCTGTCTCAAAAAATAAAATTAAAAAAAAAAAAAAAAAAAAAAAAAAAAAAAAAAAAAAAAAAAAACAGAAAAGAAAGAAAAAGCCAGGTGTTAATGCACACCTTTAATCCCAACACTTGGGAGGCAGAAGCAGGAAAACCAGCCTGGTTTACATCAGTTACAGGCCAGCCTTGTCTACAGAGCAAATTCCAGGACAGCCAGAGACACCCTTCCTTGAAAAAACAAAACAAAAAAATTAAAGATACAGTCAAAGAAATCTAGTCTGGCCAAGCGTTGGTGGCACACGCCTTTAGTCCTAGCACTTGGGAGGCAGAGGCAGGCGGATCTCTCTGAGTTCGAGACCAGCCTGGTCTACAAGAGCTAGTTCTAGGACAGCTTCCAAAGCCACAGAGAAACTCTGTCTCAAAAAAAGAAACTGAAGGAAGGAAGGAAGGAAGGAAGGAAGGAAGGAAGGAAGGAAGGAAGGAAGGAAGGAAGGAAGAAAGAGAAATCTACACTGGAAGGGTCTACGGGAGAATAATACATCCCTAATCATAGGGGGCTTTCAATATGAGGTCAGTGGTGTACAAACTTTAGGGTGTGGGGGTATTCTGGAAAGTTTGCTAAAATCTAGCTTCTAGATTTAATTTCCAGCAGTTTCAGTCTAGACTGATGGTGAGTTCTGAGAATCTGCATTTCCTACACATCTCCATGAATTTTAATGGAATAGTTCACACTTTGAGAACAGCACTGTGGGATCCATAACTTACGAAGGCCATAATGGTGTGGAACCGTGGTGGCTTTGGGAGCAGTCTGGAAGTGGTAGGCCAGCATGCCACACGTAGTGGCAAGTGAGCAGGGGGAAAGAGGGAGATCTGTGTTTAGCACCTCTGACCTGCTCTCCTCAGCTCCCTGAAGTGCACACCAACAGCTGTGACAACATCTCCCAGTTCTCAGTGGACAGCATCACCAGCCAGGAGAGCAAGGAGCCTGTGTTCATTGCAGCAGGGGACATCCGGTATGGCCAGATCACGTTATCCCTCATTTTCATCTCTTTTCCAGACTCTCTTTATCCCTTTCCTGTGCCTACTCACCAACTGTCAGCCTTGTGTCTTTCTCCTTTATCTCATTATTCTGTCCTTGTCCTGAGGCCACCATACATGAGGCAGTTAAGGTTCAATAGAGGTGTTGGTTGAGCTACTACAAAAAGAAATGCCATTTAAGAGAGTTCCAAAAAGAAGAAAGTGCCTCAGAGGGCATTTGAGCATCGTTTCTCAAAGGTGCACTTGACTAGCATGTGCAAGTCCCTGGGTTCAGTTCCTGGCAACATGAACAAGCCCAAAGCCAAGACTCAAAGTGAGATCTCAGAATCGTATCCTTCATTTTGAGGGGAGAGAGGAGACCTTGTTGGAGTGCAGATTCCAGAGTCATACCCATTACGAATCAATACTGGGATAGAGGAATAAGGAAAGCAGGGTTCTTTGCATGATCACAAACTACCAGGTTAGCAAAATAGTGCCACTGATTATGCTTCTTTCTCTGGCTTTCCTAGTGCCAGAATCTAGGAACAGTGGCAAGGAAAAAGGGGCAAAGGCATTGCAGCTCTGAGATAACTCTTCCAACATTTTCTTCCTGCTAGACGGCGCCTTTCAGAACAGCTGGCTCACACACCCACAGCCTTCAAACGAGACCCTGAAGACCCTTCTGCAGTTGCCCTCAAGGAGCCCTGGCAGGAGAAAGTGCGGTGAGGAGAGTAGAGGTGGAGGGTGGTGGTCTTGGTTCTCCTGTCAGAGCTCCAAGGCATCCTGAAGTGCTCACTTCATCTTCTCCAGGGCCCTTCCACCTCCAAATACTCCATCAGACTTCCACTGCAGTCTGAGTCCTTACCCTGCAGGGCATCACCCCATGACTTTTCTTCACAGGAGGATCAGAGAGGGTTCCCCCTATGGCCATCTTCCCAATTGGCGACTCCTGTCAGTCATTGTCAAGTGTGGAGATGACCTTCGGCAGGAGCTGCTGGCTTTCCAGGTGTTGAAGCAACTGCAGGTAAGGAAAGGAAACATAGCACACAGGGAAAGGGGCAATAAAAGGAAAGAGTCTTGAGAGAGGGACCACACAGGCTTTCTTAGGGAGCTCTGCTGGGCCCCTGCTGCTACCCAGATTTGAATGGAAAGGTTAAACAGCCACATGATGAACTGCTCTGTGGCGGACTCTGTTGGTTCTTTGTGGAACTACATCTGCCCTATCCTGACTGCTGAAAGAGGTGTGTGATTTTTTTTAGCACAGGGTCTAGCCTTAAACCATTATAACCAAAGGTAGTCAGTCCTGCACTCCTGATCCTTCTGCCCTCACCTCCCAAGTGCTAGGATTATGTGTGTGCACCACCCTACTTTGGGTTTGTCCTTTAAATCAGAGCTTCCCAAATGATCTGAGACAGATGGATTTATTCTGTACTGAAGGATTTGGGGGTTTTTGTTTTGTTTCTTTAACGATTTATTCATTTTTATTTATGTGTATGGGTGTTTTCCATGCATGTATGTGTACAGTGTCCACAGAGAACAGAACAGGGTATCAGATCCCCTGGAACTGGAGTTACAGTTGTGAGTGCTAAGGAACTGAATCCAAACCCTATGCAAGAACAGGAAGTGCTCTTAACCCTGAGCTATCTCTCTAGCTCTTGCTTTGTCTTTTTGAGACAGGGTCTCACTGTGTAGTTCAGGTTTACCTAGAACTTATTATGTGATCCAGGCTAGCCAATCCTCATGCCTCAGCTTAGGTACTAGGATTGCAGGTGTGAACTACTGTGCCTGGCTGTACTGTGTTGAGATGTTGATCACCTGGTCTCCCTAGGTTGGTGACCTGAAAGAGGCTTCACCTGTTCAATCCAGTGCTTTTTAATATTTGTTTGTATTTTTGGTTTGTTGGGGTTTTTTTGTTTATTTTGGTTTTTTGAGACAGGGTTTTTCTGTGTAGCCTTGGCTGTCCTGGAACTTGTTCTATAGATCAGGCTGGCCTCAAACTCAGAGATAGCTTGCCTCTGCCTCCCGAGTGCTGAGATTAAAGGTGTACACCACCACTGCCTGGCTTGTTTGTGGGTTTTTTGAGGGATAGAGGTAGCTTGAACTTTCTCCTGCTTTTGTTTTCCTAACACATGGCTTAAGTACTTGCATTTTGTTTTTAAGACAGGATCTCATGGAGCTCAGGCTGACCTCTGACTTTTGCTTGTAAACAATGTTGGCCTCAAACTCCTGGTCTTCCTTCCACATGCTGAGAATATAGGCTTGTGCTACCACATCCAATAGTATTTTCATTTTCTTTTTATAATGTATTTTTATTTTATGTTCATTGGTGTTTTGCCTGCATGTGTGTATGGGTGTCAGAAGCTCTGGAACTGGAGTTACAGACAGGTGTGAGCTGCCATGTAGGTGCTGGGTCCTTTGGAAGAGCAGCCCGTGGTCTGCATCACTGAGCCATCTCTCTAGTCCCATATTTTCATTTTCTAGAGATGCTTTCTCTGCCCCGAAAACCCTGACTTTTTATTATTCAAACTTATATTAATAGCTCCTACTCTTCCTACTTAGGAGGTGACAATGAGATTTCCTGTTCTCTCTGCCTCTTTCCTAGATAGTATGTAGTTTCCTCCCTTTGCCAGGCCCTGGACTTCCTTTTCAAACTTCCTGGTTCTGTTATTTGTGGTTGTGTACACCTGTAATCCTAGAATATATAAAGTGGAGACAGGGATCAGGAATTCAAGGCTATCCTAGGCTATATGAGTCCCTGTCTCAAACAGAAAATTTCCTGGTTCTGAGTAGGTCAGTGAGTCTTGCTTATTTAATGCCCTTCAAGATACCAAGGGAGAGAGGTTGAGGAGAGAAAACGTTTATTATTCTTTAGTTTGGAGAAAAATGAGCCACTCTCAGTACCTTTGTGTCTCTTCACAGTCCATTTGGGAGCAGGAGCGAGTGCCTCTTTGGATCAAGCCATATAAGATTCTTGTGATTTCAGCCGACAGTGGCATGATTGAACCAGTAGTCAACGCTGTGTCCATCCACCAGGTGAAGAAACAGTCACAGCTCTCCTTGCTCGATTACTTCCTACAGGAACATGGCAGTTATACCACTGAGGCATTCCTTAGTGCCCAGCGCAATTTTGTGCAAAGTTGTGCTGGCTACTGCTTGGTCTGCTACCTATTGCAAGTAAAGGACAGGTAAGTGACTTGTGCCCTTCATCCTAATCTTTCACAAGGGTCTTCTGTGTCCCTTCACATATAGTTCTCAGTTGATGAAACAACATATTTTTAGGAAAGATTTCTTTATGTGACATTAAGCCAAAGAGGCAGCCTGACACATGCTGGAGTAATGAGGACAGACACAGAACATAAATAAGAGTAAGGATTTGAATGAGGAGAGCTGAGAGAATAAAGGAGAGCGAGGACAGATAAAACTGTGGAACAAAGATGAGGAGATGTTCCATTGGGATCAAAATGTGGGTAGCACATCAGTCCTGTAATATGAGGCTGAAGAGTTTGTGGATTTTGGTTTTGTTTTTTGAGACAGGGTCTTTTTATGTGACCCTGGCTGTCCTGGAACTTACTCTGTAAACCAGGCTGCCTCAAACTCACAGAGATCTTCCTGCCTCTGCCTCCTGAGTATTGGGATTAAAGACCTTTGCCACCACAATCAGCAAGAATTTTATTTTGCAGGATAGGAATGCTATGTTCTGATCTGTAGATGCCATGTGGCACTACGGGTAAAGATCGGTGTGACTGGGTCCTTAGCAGGAAAGCAAGAGATAATGGAGCCTGGCACCAAAGTAGTGTCAATGACTGAAAACAGAAAGGAAATGAAATGGATAAGGGATACCTTGGAGATAAACTTGAAATTTCCAGTCACAAGCGTTCCTTTCTTCTCATTCCAACATGATGTCCCGAATGTTTGTTTTTAATGTGTATGGATGTTTTTAATGTGTCCTGCATGTATATCTGTGTGTGCCTAGTGCCAGTGGAGGCCATAAGAGGGCATTGGATCCTCTGGGACTGAAGTTGTAGGCAGCTGTAAGCCTCCATGTGACCTAAAACGTAACTCATCATCATCTGGAGGAACAGCCAGGGCTCTGTTGTTTTTATTTGTTTTTTGTCTTTCAAGACAGGGTTTCTCTGTAGCTTTGGAGCCTGTCCTAGAACTCGTTCTGTAGACTAGGCTGACCTCAAACTCACAGAGATCTGCATGCCTCTGCCTCCCAAAATGCTGGAATTAAATGCATGTGCCACCACTGCCCAACCTGCAGCCAGGGCTCTTCACAGTGAGTCATCTCTCCAGTCCCCAGTTTCCACAAATTTTATGTCTTTTGTTTGCCTAGACTGTCACTTCTTTTACTATCACATGATTTTTATGAAGCCTAACTTCACATACGTGAAGCATTGATAATGGTACCACCTATACCCTGCCATCTTAAGCATATCTCAGGCAAGTGGTTTGGGATCTGTGGCCTGAATGCTCCTGTAGGTTGCACCTCTCCCTGAACATACAGTGGCTAGGGCCTGGCAAGTTGGTTCAGTGGATTAAAGCTATTGCTCAGTCCCTGAAACCAACTCCACAGTCATCATCTAACCTCCACACCCACCCTGGTGTGTGCTGTATCATATACACATATACACATATATATGCACATAGTAACACTAAAAGAATAGATTTTAAGAAGAAATGTGATAGCCTATGCTGCCAGGGCTCCCAGTGACATGACAACCCATTAATGTTTGTCAGAGTCCAGCATCATCTATTTAGTGACTCTATACCACATATTCACATGGCATCATTACATCAGGTGGAAACCCTGTCAAGTGGGTGCTCCCTCATGAGGAAGATAAGGTTCAGCAGTAGCTTTGGGAGCCTATGGTCATTCTACCCTGCCAGGCCTACCACACAAGCAAGGGCTCTGTGTATGAGAGCTGTGGGAGTGTAACTAAGGGTCTTGATTGCCAGCTAGAGACTGTCCCTGAGCTTCAGGATTTTGAAACACAGAGCTCAGCTACAAGATTGAGTGAATGAGGAACGGGGAAGCTAGCACTAATTAGACCTCAGGAATTTTATTTTAGAAACTGGTAGGTAAAAATATTAAAATAGGTAATAAATGAAACCACCAAAAGAAAAATATTTGTAAGATGAAACTCTGTCCTTTTTGGTATGGCAAAGAGCTGATTGCCTTTTTTTTTTTTTTAATATATGAGTTTTACCTGCATGTATGTCTGTGTACCACCTGCATAGTGTGCCCAACAGACCCAGATAGCATCAGATCCCTTGGGAATATAGTTATAGTTGTTAGCCACTATGTGGGTGCTAGGAATTGAACCTGAGTCCTCTGGAAGAACAAACAGTGCTCTTCACTGCTGAACCGTCTCTACAGCCCCTGATGAACTAGTCCTGATAACTTAAAGAAGAATAGATGTGAGTTGGTGATGCAGCTCAATTTGAAGGGTGCTTTGCTTAGTATGTATGCACAATGCTCTGGGTTTGATCCCCATTAACACTAGGAGATAGAGGCAAGATGTCCAAGATCATCCTAGCTACATAGAGAATTTAAAAAAAAAAAAAAAAAAAACGCTGGGCAGTAGTGGCACAAGCCTTTAACCCCAGCACTTGGGAGGCAGAGCAGTCAGATCTCTGTGAATTCGAGACCAGCCTGGTCTACAAGAGCTAGTTCCAGGACAGCCTCCAAAGCCACAGAGAAACCCTGTCTCGAGAAAAAAAAAAAAAGAAAAAAAGAAAAAAGAGAAAAGTAAGACTACTGGGAACCATCTCACAAGATGGTGGCTACAAAGAAAATAAAGTTATTGATGTTGATCAACTGTATGTCTAGGCTCCAACTTGTGATAAAATCACACACACTTGCCAGGCAGTAGTGTTGCACACCTTTAATCCCAGTTTTTGGGAAGCAGAAGCAGGTAGATCTCTATGAATTTGAGGCTAGCCTGCTCTACAAAGTGAGTTCTAGGACACAGAGAAACCCTGTCTCAAAAAAAAAAAAAAAAAAAAAAAAAAATCACACACTCAACATGGTCACACAAAGCAAAGTAAAATTGGGCATCCTCACCAACAACTATCCTGCTTTAAGCAAGTCGGAAATAGAGGAGTGTGCCATGTTGGTCACAACTGTTGCCTGTCACTACAGTGGCAATAATATCAAATTGGGCGTAGCATGAAGAATATGCTAGAGTATGTATGAACTGTCATCAGATTTTAACATCAATACAAACCTGCCAGAACAAGCCCAGGAAGAGTAAACCATTCAGTTTTTTTCTTTAATAGAATTTGCTGGAGCTGATTGTTTTATTGCATTTTTATTTTATGTGTATCTTTTGCCTGCAAGTATGTCTGCACACCATGTTTGTGCTTGATATCCACAAAGACCAGAAGAGGATGTCAG